CCGGTAACTCACCAGGACTCACGAGCTCACAACTCACTATCCGGTAACGCCCTGTCCACTAACTCAGTGCGCAGCAAATTCATGTCCACTAACTCCGGTTTCGGTACGGACCAGTGCGCTCGGAAATAGCTTCATTGGCCGGCGGAAGGCCGATTCAGTGGCGTGTCCCGAGGCTCTGTGGCGCGCGTCATGTCAACTAATAAGCAGGTGTGAGACCCGTGGAGCACTCGGCAGGCTCAGACATGGCAGGCACCGGCGCCCCGGGAAATTATACGGCACCGGTACTGCACAATAAAACGAAACACGCGGATAAATAAAACTAAATGATAGGAATGATATGCATGGTGTGCACGGTGAAATGGAGACCGAACGCGCGAGCGGCTTTGGATGAAATTTTCGTTTTTTTACAGCGAAGCACCTAAATCACTTTTGACATCAGAATTTAACAAAATAGGTTCCTTCTTTTTTAGTACGACTGCCTAAAAATGTGGCCACACCATCTAATACCAGTATAACGCCTTTTGGGGCGACTAACGGAGCGAGCGAGAGGGTGGGCCTTGCACGTGCGAAATTGCGAGGGGGTACCTCCAACTGACTTGTGCACGGCACCCTACTAACCGGTCCCTAGCGATGTGCCAAATTTGAGCACAATCGGCCCAGCCGTTCTCGAGGTCTGGAAGCGGCACCCTGCACGTGCGCACGTGCAAAATGGGTCCCAACTGACTTGTGCACGGCACCCTACTAACCGGTCCCTAACCGTGTACCAAATTTGAGCGCCATCGCTCCAGCCGTTCTCGAGATCTGGAATCGACCCCTGCACGTGCGCACGTGCAGCAGCACCCCAACTCTGGCACATGTATATGCAGTGCCTAGTGGGTGCCTACCTACATGCCAACTTTCAGCGCAATCGGCCAAGTAGTTACCGAGATATTGCAAAAATTACAAAAGTGACACCTCTTCGTTTTGCACGTGGCACGTGCATAAGGGGTCACCCACATGCATCGGGAATAGTCCAATACTTGGTAGAAGGAATGAAGCTACCCTACAAAAATTACCGCGTGTAAATCGGTCAAGTGGTTGCTGAGATATAAGCTTCGCAAAAGCGTGACCACGGCCGGCCGGCCGGCCGGCCGGCCGCTCATACTCAGAAATTTCCGTTAATCTAAGGAAAGACTACGCTCGCTTCGCTCGCTCCGTAAAAAGGACATGGGCAACTAAAATTAATCAAAATACCGTTCGCACCATGCACCATCTCGTAATCTGTGAAGCAATCTGATGCCCAGTTCCAATCAAACAGGAGTTCCGCAGGCAATTTTCCTCAGGCATCGTGCCCGTTTCTCTTCCCATTGCCAGCGGCGCCAGCGACCGATTCCCGTATGACACGGACCATTGCCCCACGCGGGATCACCGTTTACACAGGGGACGGACTGGGCATCTAAGGGCGATGGGTCTGCCTTCACGGAACAGATATCAATGACGGATGACGGCCGGCAGGCGGCGATGACGGATGCGGAAAACTGTGGGCCGAGTGGTGACTTTGAGAGATTCCACGGTTGCAGTAACATAAACGGCCGCAGCGGCTCTGATTTCGCGCTGATTGAATTGTCTTGGTGCTAGTGACAGAGTTCGGGCGATTTAGCGGAGTTGAAGCGGCGCACACCAGTCAAACACTTTGGAGACTGCAACGGTGATAGGCGCACACAGCACACCAAACCATCACCAGCCCTCCTCCATCGGCAGGGTCTATGACCGCTGGGGAGGGCTACGTCTGTGACCCGCAGGGGGAGGGGAGCACCGGAAATGGATGTATTGACTGAGGAGCAGTCGGCGTCGGCCACGCGGCCAGGCTCGCCCTCCCTCCGACTCCAGCCATCCACCGCACCAACAAGGGAGGGAGTCGGGGAGTGCAGACACAACACAGCGAGAGGTGAGTGTGAGACAGACCTCACCGGCATGGGCCACCGCGGGCGATTATTGAGCCGGCAGCTGGGAAAAATAAACAGACTGTTCAATATATAGGAGCGGGCACCAGCCGCCAACAAAAGGGAGATGGAAGGGGTTTGGAATGAAACTACTTCATCCTTTTGAAGAAGAGACTTCATATTATTTTCAATAGCATTTTCAAGCAGAATGGCCCTATTATAAAGAAGTGCATTCCAAAATTGTATTCCTTTTCCTCTATCGAAAAGTTTGCACGCCATTTTTCCTTCAATTTGTCGTGTAAGACGTGACCATGCTGCACAATATACACCTGCTCGATTCAACCTTTGCACGTAGGTATAGGTCACGTTCCCGTAGGTATAGGTCACGTTCATACCTCCACGTACCCGCTGACACGTTCGACGTTCACCTTTACATCACCAAGACACCTACATGGTAGCGCAGATGCCTGACGCCATGTCCCACTCTCGGAAAACTAACGACCCCGGCCTAATTACGGCGCGTTTTCATTCATTCGGTGCCTCCCTCCCACTGTGCACCTCATTAGCGGTACACGGAACCCACAGAGACGGCTGCCGCGTGCGGATATTTCGGTCACTGCATATGGGAGGCCGTGATGGAAGTAATGCGTTAGGAAAGGTCCCATTCTTCCAGAAATAGCCGTCTTATTGGGCTGCTGCTGTGCTTTATATAGCACTCGGTATATGTTCTGCAGCGCCCAAAAGGTAATTATTTATGCTTGAATACTGCGAAAGGAATGAAAGATGAAGAAGGTATAGCTAAAAAGGCAATTTGTCAACATTGATGGTAAATTACAACACGAAATGATGTTGTATAATGTAGATTGTACAGAAAGCCGAAACAAGCTGCATGTTTGATTTCAAAAGTCCCATAAAGAAGGTCCAATTAATTCAAACCTTTAAAAGATGTTTATCAGTGCGCCATGTTTAACAACTAAACAAAGCCGATAGCATCACTGGAATCCGGCCGTTTTTCACCGCACACAAAGGCCACAGCGTGTTCGCCACCTCAGCTAGTGATACGCCAGAGGCACCACAAATGCTCCGAGTATCGACCGGCGATATTTCTGCTCCGGCCATGGGCGATACTCGTGCAGTCATCGGCCGCCTGACCCCGGCGGCACCCCGGCACCCCGGAGGCACCCCCGGCACCCCGGCGGCACCCGTCGACACCCCGTCGGGCCGGCCGCGTCGGTCGCGCGAGGAATCGATGCCCGGCCCGGTCCGGCCTGCGTCGATCGATGTCATTTGTGAAATGGGCACCTCTCCCTCCCAGACGGGCGCCAAGTTCGCCGACTGGGGTGCTGGGCTGGCCATCGCTGCTCTGGCGATGCACTCGATCGGTCCAATGTGCGTGAGCAATGGAAACAGACGACGATAATTGGAGCTATGTGTCATCAGACGGCCACACTACTATGCATAATGTAATGCATGCATTGGGCTCATGTTCAAGACGTTGCATAACCATGAAGCATGTGGCACAATTTCGACCTTTCTATTCTTTTAAATATTGAATATTTAAATGACATTGTTTCCAACGCTTTGATTCAAGTGCTTTGTTTCCGGTCAGCTCACAATCACTCTTCAACCGCCCGGACGCTCAAATATCCCTGCCAAGCGATTCATCCCATTATCCCCATTTCGTTGTCGCTCGTCAAAGAACTATCTTCTCAGCCACAGCAACCTTGTGCCCCAGTCCGTGTCCCGATCAGCCGAACGCATCTGTGAATGACTGACACGGCCCCCGTCCACCCTCTTACATACATCCGGATCTTACGAGTGGCCACCACTAACCGCCCGCCTGGGACTGACGCACTGACGTACTCGAAGTCCTCGAGCGGTTCAAAGCCGAGCTCTGCGGTGGGTCCCTCTAATCCAGAGTAACCGCCTCCGCCGGACAATGTCTGACACCACTGGACAGCAACGGACACTCACCCGGACACCTGGAGCGAACGCTGCAGCACTAACCTGCACTAACCACGCCCGGCGCTCTAAGCAACTTGGCAGCTCTCGCAGAAGAAGCAGTGACTTAGCGCTTGGCAGTCTGAATAGCCTCCAAGCTATGTTGGTTAAATGCGCGACAGGAGCTGAGACACGACGGACACAGGACGACGGCCGGGACGGTGCTCGGACGTTGTTTACGAGTCACAGTTGTGACTGGTTGTGACAGGTGTCAGCCGGGGTGACAGGTAACAACGGATCATGTTTTGACTTGTGTAGTAACGTCAAAACTGTGATATCTTGTCGGTTTGCTTATGCAAGTAATCACAGAAGAAAAATAGGGGAGGTATGTGCTGCAAGTTGTAAAATATGCTAAAAGTCAAGTTGACATAAAATAGACATTTACAAAAATTCAAATATGTCCATAAACATAAAATGCTATCCGTTGTCGATAAGGACCTTATTCCGAGAAGCTGGGAGTTGGGACTGAAATCGATCAGACACAAATTGGTGGAATCGGTCGTTTTAGGACCTTCAAAGACACAAATTCTACAAAGCTGACATGGTATGTTTTGTGACAAAAATCAGCTTGAAAATGGTTTGGAATAACGCATGCAAGATGCCAAGGACGTCTCTTATCTAATCAATGTCTATTGTCAGACAGTACCTATAGTCCATAACGAATCTATTGTGTTCTCGATTCTCAGAGGCATTCTGCATAACGATATCGCGGCTCTGTCGATTGTCATCTTCGATACAGGTGATTGAGCTCTTCTACATGCATTTCCTGATTGTGGGTCCAGAAAAAAAAATTGTTTGATTTCCAGTTGGATATTTGCGTCATTCTGATTTGATTTCGGACGACGGTGAAAACAGGGCGCCTGGGGCGATTTGATCAAGGTTCGTGAAATTCACACGTAACGTTTAGCATGTAGAAGGCCCACGAAGGAGGAGAAGCTCCAAATGTCACGTGACTAATATGCCCTCCGGCGCCCTGTTTTCACCGGCGTCTCTGATTTCTGGGATCGAAAGTCAAACGGTCGTGTTTCAGGCTCCAAAACAGGAACCCCTTCCCATTTGCCAGCAACTCTGACCTACCTTGTACGGAGGATCCCAGCGTTAGCAGGACGAACGTCACCAGCCACCGGCGTGGACGGTCGTCGATACTTCCAGCCGACGTCATTTTGGAGTCACTGATCGGACATCACCGTCCGGCTACCGGTGGGAAACTCGCCTGGTGACCGAGCTAACACCGATCAGTCCTCAGTCACTGCTCAGTCAGTCAGACTGAGTTCACTGCCGGTCCGTGACTGGACAGCACTCCCGCACACTCCCAGAGGTATCCCACACTGATCACCCGCGGTACAGGAGTACATGCGGTCCCCACAGGCACTCGAAGACCGACTGGCGGCCGGCGACCACAACACCGACTGGCACTCCGACGGCGACTGGAAACCGCCAGCGCCGCCCAGCGGCAGACGGAGGAACTACTGGGCCAACTCGATCGGGACGGTCGGTGACTGAATGGTTTCGGGGGGAGGGGGACGGGGGTCGTTAGATACGAAGAGCTAGAAGTTGAATGAGACTTGGGATTACTCGTGTCCTTCCGAGCCATTCATTTGTGTTCATCGATTCTCTCGTCAGATTTATAAGCAACTAGTGCAACCCAACCTGAAAACTAACTGCCAATTGCAATTTAATTTGACCAAATCGCACCAAGTCCAAGTGTGACCAAATATGCCCTCATGAAAACGTGATGACAACAGCGTATGGCTACCTAAAAGAGAAGAAAATCTGCTGCTATTTAAAATCAATGAAAATATGATCGTTTACCAGCGCCGAAGGGATAAACGTTATTACGCATATGGATAAAATAACATCGTCAACTGTTGAACGCTTGTTGTGCCTATCTATCCTAGAATCTTCTCCTAAATATTCATCTTTTCACAAACCACAAGTCAAGTCCTCAATCTCTGGGGACGGCATTGCCAGGCACCACCGTTTCATCACGGCCCATGTTGTAACATTTTCTCTCGCGGGGCTACCCTGGAAATTCCTCGTGGACCAACAAGCGGGCTAATTTAGTCTCTGTGGGGTGGCCACGGCTGTCAGCCGGCACCTCTTGTGGTCAAGGTCCGGCCGATTGGGTCCACTGCTGTGGACCCGGCCCGATTTCTTGGCTGCGCCCCGGGATGGTTTTCAGAGAAATATCTCACAATGTCGCTAATTTGGGAGCCGATTCATATGAACCGTCAGATCCATTGATTCGGGCTAGATTCTGCTACTGTTCAATAAATTGGTAAATTTATTTATCTCTTGCTAATAATGCTAACTCTTATTTTAGGCGAAGTGAAATGTGAGAAACGTGGAAATTAAATGGGAAGAGGGCCTACGTGTTCTTGGTGAATTGAGAAATTGACGACAATGATCAATTGGAAAGTGAATGAAAAATATGTCGGGCGGCTTTGCCAGTGTATAAAATATGTACAATAAATAAAAAAGATGCATCTGAGGCGAAATGAAGCAGATTCGACAAGGCCTGGCCTGATGTACGCATGGTGTAAAACAATTCATAACTTCTATCACAGTTGTTTTAGCAGTAGCGGAAGACCACGCGGCCCTGCGCCAAACCCTCATCCCCGACCGTTGTGCTGCTGATCCCAAGTTTGCTCGGTCGGCTGCCGTTCAGTCCGGCTGGCTAGCTGCAGCTCTTCTCGAAGCTCCACGACAGTTTGTTGTCGAAGGCCCGGCCAAGTGCCGCCAACTCGGCAGGTCTGCCCACCGAGCCGGTCTAAGGGGGATTTTCTGGTCCACTTGGGGCCAGTTCGGACCACTGGACAGCCGAAATGGCTCTGTGTAGACCTCAGAGGAAGGACACCGCGGGAACGACAGAGCCTGGATTATGTCTGGACAGTGGGAGATCGGGGAGACGGATTTTTTAATACTATGCTATTCTTGAAATTAAGAAATTATGGTTATGTGGACGATGTTAAATCGGTGGTCAGATTTAGGCAAAATAATATTCAGACAGCGCCTGCGCGATCAATTTTGCCTTGCATTATTTGCACTTACCTATCGTTTGCACACATTTCAATTTCGAGCAGTTTCAACAAAAAACAACTATCCTATCTACTTGGCGCGGGCTCCAGCTCTGTCAATCCGTCAATCCTAACATTCGAGCTATTCATTCTTCTTTTTCTTCTTTTGTAAATCCCTCGCAGAAGCGCTGTATGCAACACACCAGATCTGACTGCCAGGCCATGAATTCCTAACTCCTGGGCGCAGTTTTAATTAGAAGTGCGTCGTAACTCGTAAGTTGTAATTCTGCCCGGAGGACCACACTACCCCCGTCGGCGACTCTCCACCCATCCAAATCGCTGTCGAGGGTGCGCGTGGGTACCTGATCACCCGGCGGGGACTGTAATTCATGGCGTGATTAGCACACTGGGAGGAAAAATGTGCGCCCAGCCAGTCCGTGAACGTGAAACGCACCCACCCGTGAATGGACTGGAATAGCGCGACAGATATCGCGGATATAGAAATAGCTCTGTGTCAATGAAAATAACTAGCAACCTTCCCTGAACTTTGCAGGCACGTAAATGAACTTTTGAATCCTTTGTGATCAGCCTACTTAGACCAGGGTTATTGCTTGAGCTGTAGGCATCTCTTAGACAGATAATTGTGCTAATTTTAGGGTCAAATTATCAAGACATGGCCTGATCTATGAGGGAAACTACCAGCAGTCTATAAGCGATCTTATCCACCTACACACACAGAAAACATGCTCTCACAAGGTCCAATCACGTTCCTTGGAGAACCTGCGTATTTGCGCTTTCTACCATAATTAATGACGGTCATTAGATGTATGCAGAATGATAGTCATTAGGCTAAAATTGGCAATATTTTACCGGCCCTGATCTTGTTCGGCTTTTCACATGTTGCAAGTGCCGACTCGGCACCTGCCTACAAAAAGGTCCGCATACCATATATTGTGTAAGACTTGTAAGAGTGACTTATAGACAGCATGCGCATAGATGGTAGTTGAGTTGGGAGCAGTGGAACAATATCAGCTGCCATAATAATTCTAAGATAGTGACGTCAGCATAGCTGAAACCTCGTGTAGTGGGAGAACCAGCAACACCATCAATGATCAGTATTAGTGCCCGCCGCACCAGCATCACCAGTGGCACCAGTGCAGCACCAGCAGTACCAGTGCCAGTAGCCAGCGACAGTAGCACCACCAGCACCATCGGCACCAGAGCGGCGCTGCAGATCTGTGTAAGAGCCGCCGGCGGTGAGAGGTGGACTCATGTATATCGGCGGCCGCACCATGTAATTACTATGCAGAGGCGGTCGGCGCTTCTTACGCAGAGGTGACGGACCGTTTCGGCGCCCGATCCACCACTGGCCAGTCACCCACCGACCCAGAAAGGAGTCAATTAGCCCACTAATGGCCCCTCGGACGGCGGCTACCGGCAGAGATGACACACGGCCGCGCCCAACACCGGTTATTTACGATTCGCAGCGCTGTTTGAAAATGGCACGCACTGCCTGCAATGTCAGTTGGGGAGTTAGTAGCGAAAGGCGCGGCCTACAATTCATAGCTGGTAGTTGCCCTGCGGCGGTGCTGATGTGTGCCTCTTGGCAGGAGCTATACCTGTACAGGATTCGGAGGGTTCAAACTTTGTCTGTCATGAATAAAAGTCTTTAACCCTATTAGTGGCAGGCTCCTGGCTACCCCATATTAGTGGCAGGGGGGGGGGGCTGTTTACGACCCCCCCCCCCTTGATATCTCGAGATCTAACGAGCCGATTTTCAAAATTCAAACGGCATTCGATGTGGCTCAACGAGATCTACATTTCTTAAAAAAAAAAAATGTTAATAGGGGGTAGAGGGGGGTAAAAACGGGCAAATTGCAGATATATTTTAGACTGTTTATCACGGCCAAGTTTCTGAACCAATCTTAACGCAACTTTTGCCGATCGATAGAGAATGAACCAGGAATTCACATGGATCCTAAAAATATGCATTTTCAAAAATCATAGGCGGATACAGATCATTGAGATTGGGGGTACACAAAAAGTATAGTAAATAAGGTTTTTGTTGGTACTGTTTCTAAAAAGGGTGGCAATGGTCTTGTTATGTTACAATTTTCTTATGAGAGAACGACTAAAATTGTATTGGTCATGCATAGGCGGTGTCAGGGCACCTATGTTGGGAGGTAAAAAATAACCCCCCTTTTTGGACGCCTGGATCCGCCTATTATAGCAAAAACGTGTCAAAAGAGGATGCACAATAACTTTGTATATGTTATCACATGATACATTTCATTCACTGTTCGTAAAACTGGTGCAGCATCGTGATCTTCGCCCAAATGACTCGCTTCACGAATAGGACCCCCCCAATTCCCAGTGCTCTGGAGCCGCCCCTGGGAAAGTTATGAACTTGAAATTTTCAGAGAATGTGCCTAATTTAGTTTTAGGAAAAGTCAGAAAATGTCAGCATCGTAGCTTCAGCGGTTTCGGAGATATTCCCGAAAAACCTGAGGGGTGGATAAAAACAACCCCCCCCCCCCTGCCACTAATAGGGTTAAATACGCTGTGTATTTCTGAATTTAGAGCCGCGATAACCATTTGGTTTGCGCTGAATACAAAAAGAAGATACTTCTATTCCCATGTGAAGTTGTCAACTTCTGGGTACACTAAAATTATTAGAAGTAGTTTAATTTGTTTCAGGAGTAAAAAGGCCTATTTTATAGTCATTAGTGCCCAGGTTTTGACAGACTGAGAACTTTCCCAGAAAATTTAGATTGCCAATTTATATACTCTTAATATGTTGACATTTTTCTGTTTTTTTTTTATAGCCCGCATACCTATTGAAGAAAAAACGAAATGCATCATCTCTCAGCCCTAAACACTATTTGACCTTGTGACGCAGGACGGCTGGCGTGCTTCCCAATGGGCGCGGCTGGTGGCGTGTCGAGCCTGAATGGACTCAAAGAATGGCGTCTGTGATGCGGAGACTCTATCAGTGGTGAATGGTCTACGAGGACGATGATTGGGCACCGGACCAACAAGGACCACCAGTCACCAGGCACCGGACCAACAGTCGCCAGGCACCGGACCAATACGGACCAGCAGTCGCCAGAATCATCTCCTGGACGGCACCCGAGACAACACGGTGCCAAGATTGGTTGCTGAACAACATTGAGCGTCATCAGTAATTCTTTTACCGCATCGAGCAGCGACTATTTGGGCATAGCCGCTGCATGCTGCTGAGGTTGTAAAATCCGCATTGGTTTCTGCACCTCGATAATTGTTTACTTTAATGAAAAACAATATCAAATTCTTATCTGTATTCAATGTAAACGCGTTTCGATTATTTCTTTATCAATACATTGATACAATACAGATAATGAACACACACGATTCAATGTGGGTGAACCAGGGG